TACGTTTGAGGTTAGGTCCTGCACCACCCCTGAGAGCAAACAGTATGGTGTGGAGCCTCAAAAGACTTAATGAAACGACCAAGTAAGCCAGGAATTCCATTTCTGGGTACATACTGAAAAGCGTTTAAATGAGGGGCTTGAGTAGAGACCTGTACACCATTACTGATAACTGAGCTATTAACAGTAGCTAAAACATGGACGCAGCCCAAGTATCCGTTGGCAGACCAATGAGCAGATGGGACATGGCGCACATACTGTGTGATGGGACTTTAGAGAGACGGACATTCTGACCTAAGGTGCCTCACGGATGAACCTTGAGAGCGTTATGGAAGTAAAACAAATCCATCACGAAAGGACAGACTGAATATGACTCTGCTCAAATGGGAACCTGGAGTAGTCGAAATCATACGGACTGAAAGCCGAGCAGTGGCTGGGAGGAAGAAAAACACCTCTTTACGGAAGGCAGCGTTTCAGTTTGGGAAAATCAAGAGGTCTATAAATGGACAGGGACAATGGCTGTGTGACAGTATGAATCCATCTACACAGTCTGTTTTGTGGTTTTTAAATGGTTAATGGAGCTATGGGGCTACAGTTCAGTGGCAGAGCCCCTGCCTAGAATCCCCCAGTGAGGGGCTGGGGTGTGGCTCAGTGGCAGAGCCCCTGCCTAGAATCCCTCAGTGAGGGGCTGGGGTGTGGCTCAGTGGTGGAGCCCCTGCCTAGAATCCTTCAGTGAAGGGCTGGGGTGTGGCTCAGTGGCAGAGCCCCTGCCTAGAATCCCTCAGTGAGGGGCTGGGGTGTGGCTCAGTGGTGGAGCCCTTGCCTAGAATCCCCCAGTGAGGGGCTGGGGGGTGGCTCAGTGGTGGAGCCCCTGCCTAGCATGTGTAACCCTGGACTTGATCACCAATACTTTTTAAAAAGGAGTTTAAGATGGCAAATGTATTATGTGTCTCTTACCATTACAAAAGTAAAATTTATTAAAAGCAAACTATCAGGGTACTTAATTGGTTGTAACAATATGAGTTATGGCTGGAGAGATGGCTCAGAGGTTGAGAGCACTGGCTGTTCTTCCAGAGGTCCTGAGTTCAATTCCCAGCAACCACATGGTGGCTCACAACCATCTGTAATGAGATCTGGTGGGTGCCCCCTTCTGGCCTGCAGGCATGCGTGTGGGCAGGGCACTGTATATATAATAAATAAGTAAATCTTTTTTTAAAAGTTTAGTAAATTATCCTGTATGTTTTCCTTGTGGAAAGATGGTGTAAATCTCTTTAATTGGTATAAAAAATATTAACAATATGAGTTACATGTGAACTCTAGGAGTAGGGTAGCCTTGGGTGGCTGTTGATGACTGCGGTCAGGTTCCCAGTGTCTCTGTCGTCTAAGAGCCTTGGTCTTGCAGGGTGGGGAGGGCAAGGCTCAGAACACAGTTGTGGTTACCATGTGAGGTGCCCTGGCCGTGGTCACCTATTGAGCCCTGCTCCTCTGCAGGAACCTTCATAGATCAGTGTGTCTAGCCACACTCTCAAAGCCATTGCCATCTGTTTACATCTTTAGCACATCTGTATATTTTGTGTGCACGTCGTGGTGCGCGTGTCTGGGTCAGAGGACAACCGTGTGGGTCATCAGTCTCTTGGTGAGCACCTTTACCCAAGGAGCTGTCTCCCCAGGCACCATTTGTAGTTGGTTGTTTTTTACTCTTTATTCTTTTCGGGGACCCGCCACCCAGCTCCCAAATAAATCAACCCCACACAGAGGCTTATTCTTTCTTATAAATGTCCGGCCTTAGCTGCATTGCTTCTAGCCAGCTTTCCTAACTTACCCCATCTCTCCTTCGCCTCTGGGCTTGTACCTTTCTCTGTTTCTGTATATCTTTTCTTTCCTTCTTATTCCATGTTTGGCTATGTAGCTGGGTGGCTGGCCCCTGGCTCCTCTCCTCTTTTTCTTGTTCCTTGATCCCCTTTTCTCTCTCTTTCTTCTTCTATTTATTCTCTCTGCCCACCAGAGCCCTGCCTATCCTTTCCCCTGCACCGCTGTCTGGGGGCAGCCTCCAGCAGCGCCAGGGCTTTGACAGGAATCCACAGAGTCGGGGAAGCTAATCTTTTCTATCTGAGGGAGGTGAGGGGAAAGACACTTACAAACTCTCTTGATGGTTTCCTTCCTTATTCTTCTCTTTATTTTCTTTCTCTTCAGGCAATGCAAGAGTCAGAACAGTTGCATTCCATGTTTTAAGCGAATGATTATAGGTAAAAACATGGTTTTTTTTATCTCCCTCACAAGATTAAACATTTTATGTATTGCAGGTGTAAAACAAATTATCCCAGGAACCCACACACATTCATACCCAAGCAACTTGTTATAGATTAACCATGCGAGCAAACAAGGTGTTCTTGTTGGGTCTTTTACTGGCAGGGTACATTTTGCAGTTACAAAGAAAGGGCCAATTACTTTATTATGTATCTTGAGAGATAATCTTATAAGGAATCTTAAATCATAAACCTAAACTTTTATACATGAAAAGGCTCTACATTAAATCTTTAGGGTATATATCCATTCATTAATAGTTTTTTACATCAGGAGATTGAGGGCATAAATGGGCATAAGGAACTAATCATCTTTGGTCATCAACCAAACCTAGCAAGGAGAGTCCATCAGCCAGTAATGACTGGGCTGCTTTGTTCTTGTTCCCTGACCCTAAAGAGTCCCACATCTAACTCTGTGCCTTTCTACAACTTTAGATTGTCTTCTTGGGTTTTTTACCTCAAAGTTATTTAACAAAAACATCTTAATCTAACTTCGTTGTTTTCAAAATTTTGTTTCAGCTTTGATGAACTCTGAGATCTGTGAATATTAAGGTTAAAAGAATTTAAACTAGCTGGGCATTGGGGCACAATTGTTAGTCATTAACTTGAGCTACAATCCATGCAGCTCCTTAGCTGAGACTCACAGGCCCTGGCTGTGAAATTTATCCTGGTATTTATTTTTATTCATCAAAATTCTGCATAAGCTGTCATTATTATTATCAAATTAGACAGTACAGCTTAGGGAGGGGATGTTTCCAAGAGATGAACACACTACTCTACAGGTAGTGGAGCTCTCCCCGCGTCCACTCACACCATGCTAGATACCAGAGAAAGAGAGTCGTAGCAAACATGTAAAGACACAGCAGAAGCAAAAAACATTCTGAGGCCTGTAGTCCTGTGGCCTTGCCTAAATGAGATTGGCCCATCAGAGGATTCCCTTCTGGTGAACTGACACCTGAACTTCAATTGCCACTCGCCGCTCCTCTGACATGGCTGACGGCACTCCAGCCTTGCTATTGGCTGTTCAGCTCTTTACTAGACCAATCAGGTGTTTTAGACAGGCAAACTAATACAGCTTCACAGAGTTAAACAAATGCAATATAAAAACATGCAGTCCTTCTTTGCATCATTAAACAAATATTTCACAACATAAACAAATGTAACACATCCTCAACTAGTATTCTACAACGCTCACTACTATAGACCAGAAGCAATAAAATCAGTTTTCCTTCAATACTGAGCAGTAATTTTTAAAAATAGGCTTGGCTAACGAGAGGAAGTATGTTATAAAAGCACCATTCAGAGACACACACATACGTGCATGAACACATATGCATGCACATGCACACACATGCACGCACACACAGAGGCCTTTATTGTCATAGAATGTAGGCACCAGCGCACCTTGGGCTGTGTAGCCTTCTGAGTGCAGCTCCAGACTCCAATCAAGAACCTCCCGCTGGGCTTGCTGGAGCACTGGGAAGTGTGTTGAAACACCTGTGGCTGAGGTGCTGACTTGGGGTGGGGGAGTCCATCCAAATCCAGTGTACCTGGATTAATGGTGAAGAATCCCCGAGATGAGTTAACTCAGCTGTCTCCATGGGAATGAAGATTGTGTGTGGAGGCAAGGACACAAATAAAGATCCTGGGGAGCTGAGACTGGCAAGATGGGTAAGAGACCTGTGGGGAAAGGCTCCTCCACCTCCTGAGTAGGACCCTTTGGCACTTTGGCATGGCTGAATGGTAGAGCACCCACCTAGAGCCCACTAGTGAGGGACTGGGAGCATGGCTCAGTGGCAAAATGGGGCTTAGCAGGGGCTGTTTGTTACTTGGGTTTAATTCTCAGTACTGAAAAAAAAGCATGTATACCCATGTATGAGTCTTCCATCTTAGACCGCCCTCTCTTGCTCTCTTCTTGCCCACCCTGAGGAAAGCCACATTGCAAACTGTCCTAAGTCTCTCTGTCTCTGCCTGTCTGCCTGGCTACCTGTTTGTGTCCATCCCTTCGTGTGTGTGTGTGTGTGTGTGTGTGTGTGTGTGTGTGTGTGTCCACAAAGGCCAGAAGAGGGTGTCAGACCCCTTGGAGCTGGAGTTTCAAGCATCTGTGAACCACTCACTGTGCGTGGATGCTGGGAACTGAACTCAGGTCCTTAGCAAGAGTAGTCGACACTTTAACGGCTAAGCCATCTCTCCAACTCCATCCATTACTTCTATTTTTTTAAGACACTAAGCATGGGGGTGCTTTGTTTGGTGTGCAGTGGTAGGCAACTTGTCTATACACGGATGCACTCACACATCAGCCTGGATCTCTCTATCCCCGGTGTTGAACACTGAGCTTTTCCTTGGTCACATCCCCAGTCTCAGAGAAGCCTTAGCTCATGACTCTACTCGAGTCTTTACTCATTCTTTCTTTACACTACGTGCTATTGGAACCCTCTGCCGGTCAGACGCAGTCTGCGGTCTGGTGGCCCTGGAGGAGAGGACCGGGGCTCTAGCAAACAAGCACACCACGGGCACAGAGAAAGTGCGCTGGAGAAAATAAAACTAAAGATATGGGAGTTTGTCCCCCTCCCCCGCCACCACCACCCGGCAACCCTGGAAGAAAAGCCCTTGATAGAGATCCCTGCTCCCGCTGAGAGGTAAATAAAGGGTCTGTCAGTCCTTGCTCCAGCAGGTGGCGCCTGCACCAACCGTGTCTCTCTTTAGAGGTGGAGCCGAAAAGTTGGGAATGCAAAGGTGAGAAGCAGCTGCAGGGAGCTGAGGTGTCCCAGTCCTTGCCAGTGCCCAGCTGGTGCCTGTTTTGCAGTAAAGGCTTCCATCACCACCGCAGAGCCTCTCTCTTCTCCCCCAAATGCGCACATACGTCCCCTGGTGGTCAGTAGCATCACCGTGGGTAGAAATGGCCTCCAGTCGCTTGGGAAGTTAGAATCTACAGGAGTAGGGATCAGGGAAAGGATGGGGATTAGACATTTGCTTCTGAGTTACACTTGCCAGACAGAAATGCTTGGCAGCATCTGGGAGGCAGGTTCCAAACCGAGAAGACACCGGTTTTTGAATTTTAAATGGGGACGGGATACCCACTGATTCTAAGGCTCACAGACTGGCCAGAATGAGCTCGCTGGATATAGAAGTGACATATGTTTGTTGTAAAGTAAACAAAAGGACCACCCAAGAGCAACGCTGTTATTTTTGCTAATTTCAGCAATCCTCTTTTGTTATTTCAGCAATCTTTCCTCTCTCCTATTTAGATGAGTTTTCATCCCGATTTCTAATTTTTTTAGTTGGGATACAAATTGATGGATGACATCATGACATTTCCACATGTGTGAGCCCCTGTACTCTGCTCATAGCCACCGTCTAGTGTTTGTCTCCTGCCCCCACCTCTCACCGATCCCCACCCTCTTTCAAACAGCCCTGTATGTGTATGTAGATATGAATATATGCACATATGTATGTATGTACATATATACATACATTTCAGAGAGAGGATGCGTATGTATGAGAAAACAAGCCACATGTGTTTTTCCTTTTGTCCCATCACCTCCTCTTGTTCTGTTTCCCTCCCCCTCTAGACCTCTTTCTGTCCACCATTCAGTCCCTCTGTCTACCTTCATGCTTCACCTGAAACATACATAGGTACTGGAGAGATGGTTCATCTGCTGTCATCGTGGACCAGGCTCAGAGGATCTGATGCCGTCCTCTGGCCTCCTTGGGCACTGTGTGCATATGGTGCACATACACACACATGCATACATACATGCATGCAAACACTCATACCTATAAAGTAAAAATAAATACATCTTTTTTAATCACAGGACTGGAGAAATGGCTCAGTAGTTAAGAACACTTATTTGGGTCCCAGCATCCATGTCAAGTGGCTCACACTGTCTGGAACTCCAGCCCCACAGGATCTGATGTCTCTGGCCTTCTTAAGCACCCTCATCCACAGGCATGTATCCACATGTACACATATACACATAATTGGAAATAATAAAAATTAGTTTTAGAAATTTGACCACATTATGAGACGTCTCACCACCATCCACCTCCAGAACTTTCCCTATCTTCTTTAAACTTCTTTTAAACAAGTTATCCCCCCCTCACTTCCCCTTAGCCCCTGGCACATCCCAGTGTCGGTGGCTCACCTAACTGGAATCATGTGGCATCTGCCCTTCTGGGACTGGCCCGATTGCTTTTGAAAATGCTTATAAACGTATTATTTACAGAAATGGACTCACAGGAAGCAGTTCCATGACTTAATATTTTTGCAGTACCCCTCCACATTCCCATACAAAAGTCGGTAGCCTCAATTTTTAACTTCTGCCCCGCACAGATAGCAATGCATTCATGGACCCAACCTGTTCCTAAAGGTTTCCTTTGAGGGAAAAAAAACCTCACCTTTCAGTATGACACACATCATCAGGATGCGCTTAGAGAGTGGGCCTATTCTCACTCCCCTCACCCTCGGAGCTCAAAGCATTCTTGCTCTCTCAGTGACTTATACCAGCATCACTACAAGAAACTTCAAGCTCCATTGCCAACCAACGCACTGAAACAGTTATCACGACAAGGCGAGTCACACAGGCTTTCTGGCATGAGGCTGTGTTGTAGTAACTGCAAGAACAGTAGATGTTTAAAATCCGAGGTGCACGCCTTAATCAAACATCACTTTATTGCCACCACAGACCATATGCACTATTGGGAACATGGCCCTAATAAACTTCCTCACTGCCAGGTTACACAGACCCTCAACTTGGAAAGACCACGGTCATCTACAAAGCACAGTGCGGGGGCGGGGGGAATGGGATAGAAAGGGCAGGGACTACAAGGCTGGTGGCTTATGTGATTTAAAAAAAAAAAAAAAGCTGGTTCAATTTGCATGTACTTGATTGGGCACATTTCCATATATTTCCACTTGCCTTTCAGTGTGGTTTGGGGAAGAAACAAATCCTTAGAAACTGGAAGAGAACAGAGCGTGGGGGAACACGTGTACCTTTAACCCCAGGATCTAGTGAGCGGAAAGCAGGTGGGTCTCTATGAGTTTGAGGCCAGCTTGGTCTATATAGAAAGTTCCCTGACAGTCAGGTCTGCATAGCAGAACAATGCCTCAAAAACAAACAAACCACAACAATAACAAACCCCACGGAAACAAAAAGACGTTGTGCCTCCTTAGGTGTCTTAGAATAACACGTTTGTCCCCTGGATTGACTCACTTCCTCAGCAAAGGGCTTCCAGGGTATTTTATTTTTCAATTAGTGAATCATTAATATCACAGCAGCTGAAATAATCATGCCAGAAAGCTTCTTGGTGTCCTTCCAGCTCCTAAATCTAAAATAACAACCAAAAAAAAAAAAAAAAAGGAAAGGTATTCCTCAATGGAGAGGCAAATTTACATTACCATAGACAGCTCATGCCAAGTCCCTGGCGTTGGCCCTGAGGGGACAGAGTGCAGGCCGCGGTCACCAAGTCCACCCACTGAGTGTGGACTTCCTTCCTCCGCACTCGAATCCTTCTATCTTTCGTGAATTAAAAATAAACAAACAAAAATCCCAACAACAACAAGGGAGTAAGCCAGGCATGGTGGCTCACTCCTTTAATCCCAGCGTTCTGGAGGCAGAGCCAGATGGATCTCCGTGAGTTCAAAACCAGCCTAGTCAACATAATGAGTTCCAGGACAGTCAGGACTACATAGAGATCTTGCCTTTAAAAAAAAAAAAAAAAAAAAAAAAAAAAAAAAAAAAAAAAAAACTGGAGGGAGAGTAATTGTTGCTGTTGTGTATCCATTTCCTCCAAGATTGAAACATCACATTCTGCTGGGAAGCTCCTTAAACAGAAAGGTAAACAACTCAGGTAACTTCAGGAAGTCCCTGAAGCTGACCAGATTCTCTAGGTGGCCCCCATCTTCCCAAGAGTAATCAAACCAAACTACAAAGAAGACTCTGAGATTACACCTGCTGCCCTGAAGAAGCAGAAACCAGTCCAACTGCCTGGAAGAATCTCAGACCAGATGAGGTATCTGGAAAGGACACCCTCCAGCCTTGTGAGCTGCCTGCAGGCTGGGCAGTGTGCTCCAGGTTCCCAGCTTTTGTGTGCTGGCTAGGATTTGGCAATACAACTGTCTTTGAGTCATTTCTATTCCTGTAAGTAACCTCTCACTCATATTTCTGTAAGTAACCCCAGTACCAACCCGTTGATTCCCCAAGCTGGACTTTGGTGGTATCCACACTTTGGTCTCTCGTGGCTCGCTATCTGGACTGAATAGATGTGTGTTGCATCTCCCCCACAGAAAGTTTTGATGTGTTACAGACCACCCACCTCAACTCCATGAGTGGGCCTTGGACACACTCATCTCCAACATTCATTCATTCAATTCATATTTAGACAGCATCCTATGCTGTTTACAAAGCAAAGAGAGTTCCCTGTATTTTTCTTTAACGTTTTTTTTTCATTTTTTTTTATCACCAAAGAGAAATAATCCTGTTTATCTTAATTTTGTTGGCAAGAGCCAACGTTTAATTCGATTATGTGTGATGTATGGCCCAAGGTGGCCATGAAGCTGTAAAGTTCACGTGATGGGCAGAGAATGAGCCCACCAAGAACAGTTGTGAGCTCTTGGGACCCAGGCAGAAGGGGGGTGGGGGCTAACAGTTCATTTTCCTGATCCTGAGAAGGCTCACTGATTTTGATATATTTATATAGAGAGAGATAAAACCCCAAATTCAGAAGCTCTCTGGAGTCTTGTGTCTGCTCTTATGCCGTCACTGTGCCTGTCATCCAAGCACCTGCCCAGGTGAGATTCTTACACTGGTGAAATCAAAGAGAATTCCCATAAGCATTAGGGCTCTGAGGGCAAAGGTATCTAAGAGGCTCTATATAGGCCTAAGCATGGCAAACACGCCACTGGAAGCCTGGCTCTTTCCCCTTCTTCCCTCTTTCTTGCTAAACCGTTAGATTACATTCCTAAAGCTAGCTGCTAAGGTCTATCCCCTTATTTGGCCACTTCGTTGTGTCTGACTAAAATTCCAAAGTCCACCTATCAAAACACCAAGGTCCGGCAATCAAGATTCACTGTCTAACAGGTCCAACCAAAATGTACCAACTCATCCTCACACAGACTCCCCTTCCTTCTTAAAATCCACTTCTTCAGAAACACCTGTTGCTGCCCTTGTCAGTTCCAGAGGCAGCCTCACCCCCACCCCCACCCCCATCCCCACCCTGCTTGTCCCTCCCGGTTGGTTGATAAATCTCCCTTGTGCCGAGAATCTGGTGTCTGGCGGTGCTCTGTGCCAACTCCGAGGCCCCTTACGGTTTCCCTTATGCCAGTGTTACAGCTCTGAAGGGAACAGCATCCTGGCGGTTGGGAGTCAAGGAAGACCACAAAGTCACACCATACAAAAAAACCTCACACAAGAGATTTATCGGGAAAGACACGGGGGGGGGGGGGGGGGGGGGGGAGGGGGCTGCTTCTGCTCAAGTGAGAAGCAGCAGGGAGCTGAGCGGGAGACAGGCTGATACAGAGTTTCCAGGGGTAATTTCCAGGGTGGTGAGATTTCAAGGCAAGCCCAGGGATTGGTGGGCTTGGTAGGTTTTCAAACCTCAGAGTTGGCTCAGACCTTTTTACTTTACAGTTCCCCTCACCCATCAAAGACCACAGTGAGGACAGTGTGGTTTGCCCCGGCCACAACAGCTTCAACGGTTAGTATCGATTACCTACTGGACAGTGTTGTGGGGTATCCACAAGAGAAGACCACGCAGACATTAGGTTAAGCCAGTAGATAGTCTTCATGAGCTGGCTGGCCACTACACTGGGTGTTTAGGATCCCAGTGTAACACTGACCCTTTCCCAGGATGAACTTTTAAACACAAAAACCATGACCTGGGTTGGCACTTGTTGTTAGAACGGTTACCCAGGAGCAGAGCAACAAAAGCCAAAATGCAAGATTAGTTCATTTAGAGACTTTTCTAGAACTATGGACGTTGATGGCTTTGGTTTTTGCAGGTGGTGCTGTCTACACACTGAGTGCTATGGCCTGAATGGAGTCAGTTGTGTTAAGGTCTGGGGGCCTGGAATCACGCTCCTGCCTGGGAAAATTCCTATTTTCTTTAGAAACTCATCTTTAAAGAGATCTGCCGTTCTTCCGTGTCACATGTCACCGCTGTTTGTTGTGATACAGTCTCACTTTGTAGCCCAGGCTAGCCTAGAACTCACTAGCCAGACTGTTTCAGCCTCCTGAGTGATAGAATCAGGAGTGTCCACACCTAGGTGAGTCAGACAGGGCCAGGTGATGGGATTCTAATGGGATGGTCAGTCCAGGCCTGCCTAGGCTGTGGCTTGAATTTTGTATGCAAGGGACAGGTAGCTTATAAAAAAAATGAGATGCTGGACTGGGCATGGTTACTCACACCTGTAAAACCAGCCCTTTAGAAGTGAAGGCAGGAGAATCAGGTGTTCAAGGCCAGCCTTGGCTATAGACTACAGCTTTGAGGCCAGCCTGAACTACATGAAACCCTGTACTAAAAGAGAAAGGAGAGAAAAAAGAAAGAAAGAAAGAAAGAAAGGAAGGAAGGAAAAGAAAAAGACATGAGAAGAAGCAGGTGGGGTGAGGTGGACGGGTAGCTTAGCAGTTAAAAGCACTTCCTATACTTGCAGAGGACCAGAGTCCAGTCCCCGACACCCATGTCACGTAGCTAGCTCCAGGGCATCTGACGCCTCTGACTGCTGTCCACAGTCATATGCACGTCTCTATACATGGACAAACACACACGCACACAACTAATGATAATTGCAACTAAATAAATCAGCTTCCAAGCCCACTTGTTCTGAAGGGGCTGAGCATGAGCCTTGCCGAGCCTCCTGGCGTGTTGCCGAAGGGGTCTGCACGCTGGTTTACGTTTGCATGGTCATTATTTTTGCTTCTTACACAATGCGTATTCGCTACATAGAACAGCCAAGCTCACAGTCAAGAAACAGAAAAGTAACATAGTAGCCGTAAATAGCCCGGCAACCTGCACAGTCCTGGTAGACACACTGTACCTCAGCCCCTTTAATGACTTCTCCAGCCAGGGCTATCTCATAGGTGGCATGGGAACCGCATGGGAGGCTTTGGGGAAATATTTAAAGCACAAGCGGGGCTGGGTGTAGTACTGGGGCACAGTATGTGCTTAGCATGTGTGAGACCCTACATTTGAACACCAATACCAAAACAAACAAACAAAAACAATAAAAAGAATTGGGACTGGAGAGAAGGCCCACCAGATAAGAGTGGGGACCTGAGGTCGGAACCCAGCAGCCACATTGGAAAAAAAAAAAAGACACTTCATCTCCAGCTCCAGGGGATATGACATTCTCTTTTGGCCTCTGTGGGCACTTGTACACACTTCCATACACTCACACACATGCTTAGACTTAATAAATCTTTACAAAATTAATCAATTAGACTTAATGATACACTTAAAATATTATTAAAATAGTATCATTTCATCATGTAACCAGTATTTTTCTGA